CCTTTGCCTCCACACTTAATAAGATCATCTGAATTTCAAGATGAAAAGTGCAGTCTCATATTTTAATCATTATGTTCCAGTGCGGTATTTCATGTCATTTTTATAAGGTTCTGGGTGGGCAACATGGGGTGGGGGAAATGGTAAAGATGTTATCAGCTGAACAAATGTAACTGATTCATGTCAAAGGGGAGACAAGTCAGACATGAGAAATAAAGACTTTCCACAGGTTTTGAAGGACTCCGCTAATGCTGTTGTTCCACACCATGGAGCAGTGTGCTAGCGCTGGTACTTCAGACGGGGTGGTGTTCTCAGCTCACCTTGTTATGTTAATGATCCCCTGGTATCCCCTGGTGTATTTGAACCACTGTTATCTGCTGATCCTTTGATTGCATGCTGCAATCCACAATTAAGTCTGGATTTCAATAAAGAGAAGCAGCCCAATTTCCAAAATGAGTTAGGGGGCCACAGGTGATGGTTAATATACTAACCCTGGTAAACTGGAACAGTTGCCAAAAGTTTAGATTAATTTGTACTGGGGACTAAAAAACCCCATTTTCCAAAGCTGTCTCCATTGATTCTGTGTTCTTAGATGAAAGGATGGTTTTGTGTTTAAAGTCTGGGACACAGTCCTCATTTTGCTACAGATTTCTGCCATGGCATTGGTCATGTTGCTTAATTTCTATGGCCATTAGTATTCAGTCTTCAGTTTATATGTTGAATCCTCTTTTTTTAATTTTTTGACCGTCTTTTCTACTTGTAAGCTATTGAAGGCAGAGGTAGCCTCTCTGTTTCTAGGTATTTAAAGAGCACCCAGCACAATGAAGTTCTGATCCTGCTTGAGGCTTTTAGCTATGACTGCATTACAAATAATAACAGGACAATGTATTCAACCTCTGTGATTTAGTTACTTTAGCTTAGAATTGGAGGTGCAAGTAGCTACCCACTTAATCATTCAGGTGTTGTGAAGATTAGTTAGTAATATTTGTAAAGCACATTTAATCTACAAAGTGTTAAGTGTTGTTGTTGTTTCATGAAAATCTTGGGGTGTACCACAGCAGATATAAATTGTCAAGGATATGATGTGACTCCTATCTAAGCCTTAGCTGGAGCAGGATCAGGAGCGGTTTCCAAAAAGGAATTAGACAACAAAATTGGCAGGCAATATGCAATGCCCTCTAGTGTGATCATTGTATCATCCTTTGGCCAACAGATGAGTTCACCTACAAATCCAAAGGAAGTCTAGATTATCCAGGCATAAGGTTATGCTACACTCAAGCCAGACAGTATAACAGGCCAAATCCTGATTCTAACTTGTGTATGATGATCAGAGAGGGGGTCCAGTAACATGGTTGCATTGCCTCTGGCTGTGCCACACATGAGTTTAAGTGGAGCATGAATCAAAGAGGGGAGCAATTGTACCACCCCACTCCTCCCCCCACCAGATCTACCCCCATAAGTAACAGAGGGTGCAGCTACACATCACCCTACAGTGATATAGCAATGTGCTACATTGCTGCATGGTGTGCTATGGCAATATAGTGATCAAGTGTGTCTACACATGATCACCAGCTATGTCTCTGTTGCGGTACACTCCCTGGGTATAGCGTGCCATTATGGTGGTATAGCAGTGAAATTTAACTGTCGCCAAAGTACTAAAGCAGAGCGTTGTAGCAACATCACCGTACAGCAATGTGTAGATACACCCCAAGAAACAATAAGTTCCTTTAACATACTGTTTTAGAGTCCAAAGGCTTGAATACAGTAAGCTTCTCAGGAAAGAGAAGTTAAACAAAGAGTTACATGTATTCAAGATACTATATTCTCTTTATTTCCTTTCCCTTAGGTTTTCTTTTCCTCTAAGGCTGTGAAGGAGGGACTGAGAGGTTGAGATAACTAAGCAAACCTATTCATATGCTGTGATTTTTCATTTATAGAGAGACGCCCAGAGTTTTATTCTAGAAATTTAAAGAAATAATTAAAACAAATACCACTGTGTTATACATCTGAATTAGCCTTAAGAAACAAAGAATGAACATAATATCACACACAGTCTGATCCCAAAGAAGAGTGTGGTCTTGAAGGTATGTGGTCATTCCCAAAAGGAGGGAGGAGACAGGTGATTCTCCCAGAACATGGTAAAGGAAGGAAACACTTCTAGTACTGGAGTGGCTGTCAAGGGAAAAGTATGCGTCCTCTGCTACAGTTATCACGGGAGTGAGTTGCAGGTCACAGGGCCCCCTCACGTGTATATATAGCTATTAGTTGTATGGAAGCCAATTGAGAGAGGGGAGTTTAGAGCCCAGGATTAAGAGGCTCTAAAGACGTAAGCCCATCTAAAGGCTCAGCCCTTGGGATGCTGATCTGAACTTCCAGCCTATCAAGGCCCACAGATGAAGAGACCCCTATGAAAACACAATCTGAAATTCTTCAGAATAAACACACTGCCCCTTGCCAGGCGGGAGCTTGTCTCGGAGCTCAGACTAATGGAGAGCTGCTGATGAAGCATCTAAAAAATGTTGGCAACTGTCACTCCATGCACTCCACACACCACCCTTCCCAGTGCATCCTTCTACAGCCGCCCTCACCCACTCCCCCTATAAGTGTCATTCTAGTATCAGAAAATACCTCCCTTAAATGCTGGAGGCTGCAAGTGGGAGAGGAATTAGAAAAATATCTCCCTTAAATTCTGGAAGATTCAACTGGGAGTGAATCCTCCTAGGTCCTTGGTTTTGGGGGATTTTTGCTTTGTTTCTTTCTACTTGAGCCAAAAAACAAAGTTTTCCTTGGGAGTTCCTTCCCCCTGATGTTCCTGGCAAGCAACCAGGTCAGATGCCAGGTTGCCACTGGGTTTTCTGGCCTCTCCTACAAAATAACAGAATGGGCCTGGCTTCCCTTCACCTCTGGGTGACAGGTTTTGCCAGCTGCCTGTGTGGCCCAGGCTTCCTGGAGATGTTTTTGGATGCTTGAGTGAACCATTGGTAGGAAAGGAGAGAAGAGGAATGTTTCGTAGTGGGCTTGATCCAGTTAAGGTGTGGGCACAGATGAGAAGACCAACTCATTTTCATCCTGTCAGAGTAAACAGCAGCCTTCAGCCAAGAAGTGAGTTTTACCTTTCTGGATTAAAAAAAAAAATTCTCCTTCATTTGTTTTGATGATTCTCCAGCTAAAAATGTCAACAAGAGGGAGTGTCCGTTAGAGTAAGGAGTTTCACATTGTATATGTCCTAGGCATGGGTTTAGAGCATTTTTGATATGTCAGGGTCAAATTCAAAGTGGTTCCTAAGCATCTAAATGGAATATAGGCCGAACCTTTCAAAATAGTCCTGCTTCAGCAACTACAGACTTCATGAAGTGTCACAAGTCGTTAGACACTTGCATTTTAGATTGCAAAGCTCCCCAAGGTGTCTACACTAGGGCATGCCCAGAAATGATTCAGATGGGAGTACTTAGGTGCTGCATGAGACTTAACCCTGCTTATAATCACTGCAATTGGAAATGCAGCTGGGAGGTACCTAATTGCTGCCTAAGTCTCTGAAAAGGTCTTCCCTGGTAGGTGGAAAAAGATGCACTTATGTCAGCAGCAGTGAATTCAGCTCAGAACCAGTGGCATCATCAGGGGTCCTCAGTTTTTACACATGAATAGCTAGAGTGCACCCACACAACAAGGGAGACATGGGCTGCATTATCTGCCAGAAGGGCGTTGAACTCACATGTTTAACTTCCCACACGAGTGCCCTAACCACTAAGAACATAACAACTGCTATATACAGTGTCAGGCCATAGGTCCATCTTGCCAAGTATCCTGTGTCACACAGTGGCAGACAGTGGATGCTGGAAAGGAGAGCGAACAGGGTATGACCAGGGTTATTTCCCTTCTCCTCTCCCACTTACAGCCTCCAAGCATTTAAGTTCTCTACCACTAGCCTACAGACCCAGGTAGCCTACAGACCCAGCACCCTTCACCCCTCCTGAGGCCAGGGGCCATCCAAGACTTAAAGATTCATAGGGGCAAACTGAAAGCAAGCAAGAGGGAGCATGGCTCTCTAGCCTATTGCTTACAGCACTTCTCTGGGAGGGAAGTCCTGACATCCAGACGCTGCTGACAGGCTTGTTTCTGTCTGTTTGATAAACAATGAATATAAAATTCACAGAATTGCTAGGGCAAGATCCAGAGAGTCAAGACTCTCCACTCTCAGGCAAGTACCATCACCAGGTGGCTACTTGGGAGATATCTGTCCTGTACTCTGACTGAGGCTGGCAGTCAGAATAAGAAATATGCCCCACCCGTTCATGCCTGGACTTGTAAACTTGCAGTGTACATGGCTTGTTACAGTCTCAATAGCATGAACCAACATCCTACCATGGTCCTGAGACTACACCAGGACATTTACACTCCAAATTTATAAGCCCACAAGCACACAGAGCAAGCAAACCTTATTTCTTCAGTGGCATGTCAGACTCACTTACAATGCAAAATAGACATACCCTTTGAATCCTGGCCCTGGCTCTGTTCTTGAGCTGTATCTGAGCTGTTCTCAGCAGAGCTCAGGAAGCTGGTTGATTAATGGTGGCTTTAAGCCATGCATTTACACACAGTTTTAGGGCCAGCTAGGAACTGGGCCAGTCCCTAGAGTAATTATGCCCAGCTGCCCATGGCCCCAGGGTCATTCTGACAGCTGACCATCACTGAGGCAGAGTAGCATTTCAGCACACTTCTTTTCATCAAAACCAGTGGTTCTCAACCTTTTGGGGCTGAAGACACCCCTAGACTCAAGGCACCCCTCAGAAAGTGCCAGCCCTTAGCTTCTACCTGTTTGTTTGGGGATTTTTTTAACTACAGAAAAATATTTTTTTTCTGTTATAAATAACCCAAAAGTCAGAATGGTTTTGACACTATGGATTCCTATTTGAAATCTCTGGGTTTATCTTGTGAATCCTGTGTAGCTGTTTTCCCACCAAATGGTGCTAATAGCGTGCAGCATCCCTAAAAGGATTCTGAGGCACCTCAGTGTGTCATGACATCCTGATTGAGAATCACTGATCTAACATACTGTCAAGAAACAAAGGATGGTGTGACAGCTGCTGCCACAATATTAGCTATCCCAGTTATTTGCTCCCATGCCTTGCAGACTGAAGAAACCCCCTCTTATGGTTGCTGTGCTCTGCAAAGCAGTTGTAGGGAGGGCAAGAAGGTAGCCTACTCATCTTAGAAGGGGACTTGTCAGATAGCTGTGCTTTATCTGAATATAAATTGTTCACAAATTGTTGTTGTTTGCCTTCCCCTGACCTTTGTTTGTTAGTCATCAGTTCACAAGTTTCTCAGAGTACAACTTGCCACAGAAACATAGGATTGTCAGAGATCTCCTGGGTCACCGAGTCCAGTGCTCTGCTACCACAAACAGCCACATCCTATAAACTCACCAAACTCAGCAATCAAGAGCAATGAGATTTTTCCTACTCCTGCTAGTCTAGGCTGTGCTAGACCCTTGCTCCTCTGATGATCACAACCTTTCTTCAAAAATATATTCAGGGACAATATGTCCCTTCAAATGTTTGCAAAGACCCTCATATGCTGCAAGTGCTGCTGAAAAAGAAATATAATATATAATGCTGTAAACACAGAAACGTAGAAAATTAGGGTTGGTAGGGACCTCAAAAGGTCATCTAGTCATTTAGTTGGACCATCCCCAACTAGATCGTTCCAGCCAGGGCTTTGTCAAGCCAGAGTTTAAAAACCTCCAAGGATGGAGATTCCACCACCTCTCTAGGTAACCTCTTCCAGTGTTTCACCACCCTCCTAATGAGACAGTTTTTCCTAATATCCAAGTTAAACCTCCCTTGCTGCAACTTAAGACCATTGCTCCTTTGTCTGTCATCAGTCACCACCGAGAACAGTCCAGCTCTAAGGTAGAGGGTCTCCAGTCCAATCTGTTCTTCTCTAGCAGATAATTCCATGGCTGAAACACCACAGCTCAGGATTCTCTGGCCATCCAAGTGTAGCCTCCTTTAGCCTTCCTGTAGTAGTCAGAGGCAGCTGCTACATGTACTAGTCAGTGGGCATGGAGAGCAAAAGGTGGCTTTAGGTCATTCACAGCAATGGAACTGATTGTTAGGATCATGAAGCAAGCCTAGAATTGGTGAAGGTTGGGTCAGTTGCCCTCCCTTGCAGGTGAGTTGGCTGCATACAGAGCAATCTGTTGTTTTTAGGTAGTCGTCACAATCAGGCTAAAGCAGAGGTGGGAAAAATATGGCCTGTGGGCTAGATCTGGCCTGCAGAGTGATTTTGTCTAACCTGCGATGGGTGCCTCAGCCCCACCAAGCAACACTGGGGCACCCCCATCCTGTGCCAGCCCAAAAACTTACCCTGGGATACCCAGGCACCAGTGGAAGACCCCAGCCCTGCCGGCTCTGCGTGGGGTGAGGCGGAGCAGTGCAGAGGCAGCAGCAGCAGGAGCCCCAGTGAGGGTGCTGTTTCTGGAGCTGGGGGCCAGTATCTCTGTAAGGGTCACCAAAATCTGAAACACACTCCCACCTTGGATGTGTTCAAGATGAGGCTGGATAAGCACCTTGTTGAACTCCTCTGAGCCCAAAACTTCCTGCCCATGGCAGGGGACCAAACTTGATGATCTTACAAGTCCCTTCCAGTTCTATATTTCTATGATTCTATAAACACAAGCAAATTGCTTTCCAACTAAGAGTCGTCCCCATTTGGCTCCTTGCTTTACCACCTGCCCTAAGCTCCCCTTGGCTTTCTCTTTGCAGCCCTTGGCAATGGTTTAGGCACCAGCCAATCCGCCTTCAGGAGATGTTCTGCCTGGTGTCTGCAGGGCCAGATGCCCTGATAGCTCCCAAGCTCTGGTTTCAGGTGCCCCAGAGCTCACTCAGCTGCTTCTACTTGATCTAATAAGATTTGGCTTTTCTTGCCCTGCACCCTCCCAAGATCCTTAACAGGCCTAAGCCGTGAGGTCTGTGTTCTTGTTGGAGCTGGCTGCTATTGTTGCTGGCCCCTACAGGCTACAAATGCCCTGCTCCCCCTCTCATTGCAGTTAACAGGGTTGGGGTTCCCTGTTACAGTCTGATAGTAGTTAACATCCCTGTAATGGGCTTATGGCCACAGGGGCAGCCATAACATCCCCTAGTTGCCTTATCACTCCTGCCTGGCTCAAACTCTAATGCCACGCTCCCTAGATTACTCACCTGCCATGCCTTGTTCTTAAATGGTATAAATTGATTCAGGGAGACTGCCAACAGGCCTTAGAGTGAGCCCTAATCCCAATAAGTTCACACTGGGTCTCTCCTGAGACCCCTCTAGCCTCAATCCGACAATCAGGCTTGGCAAGTCCCTCTCAGCATGAACAGGCCCCTGTCGTGCACCAAGAATCATAAGAGCAGATTGCACGTCTCCTTTTCCTTCCCTGTACTGTGCCCAAAGCCTCGCGAATGTTGTCTCTTATTGAAGTAACTATTTATACACTTGCCCCTCCTCTGGGCTCCCAGCCCCCCCAGCCCCACACACAGCCCCTTCTCTGGGCTCCCAGACCCCCCAGCCCCACACACAGCCCCTCCTCTGGGCTCCTGGACCCCCTCAGCCCCACACACATGGTCTTGGACTCCCTAGTCTGGCTTCGCCTGCTCTGGGTTCGTGGCCCCTCTGGCCAGCTCAACCTTTCCCTAAGTTCTTGGATCTTCTGGTTTGGGTTTCAGCCTTTTGCCAGGCTCCACCTCCAGTCTGAGGGCTCCTGGGTTACTCATTCTCTAAATAGGTCTTGAGCCTGCCCCCGCAGAGCTCAAGGATAAACTACTGGGCTAACCCAAATGAATAAGCAACGTCACTGCCCGCTGGCAGGCATCTCAGTCCTTCTGGCAGTTTAACTTAACCAAACTTACAGGCCACTTGCCTGTAAACCCAGTCTTTCTCAGTCCAACGAACTTGCCTCTGTTCCCAGGTCTGCAGAGTTGTTCAGCCCAAAATCCAGATCCCTTCAGGTGCCCTGTATCCATGAGTTCTTCATTTCTTGGTTGCTGGAGAGAGACTACCTGACCAGCGCAGGATTTAGGCTTCTATTGCTCCAGGCTGAGCCTTCTTCTGGTCAGATAAGTCCTTCATTAATTAATTCCCCCCAGCCACCAGCAAGTAGCCTCTCAGGCTGCTTGCTTTCTGAAAGGAGCTGGCACATCCCAGTGCCCTGTTACAATCCCCATTTAGGATCAGTGCATGGGACATGGGATTTTCACAAGCACACAGGGCTGATATGGATTTTGGTGAGAGCAGAATTAGGCCCACACTGAGATTCTTGAAAATCCAAAACTGACTTTCACACAAAACAAACTAGACAAGACCTGAATTTTAAAGGTATGGCAACATGCACATAAAATCCTTATAAAAAATAAAAGAAAGAGAGAGAGAGAGAGAGAGAGAATGTGCAAGGTCCTATTTTACACTGTACTTGTAGTCCTCTAAGAAGTTACAAAACTGGGGGTACACTCCCCTACCCTCCCCCTCCTCCTCGCCCTACCTTTTTTTGTAGATCTTCTTTATAAATACTGATTTAAATAAGCATTTTAGCTGACTAGGAAGACAAAGTCCTGACAGAAGAGGAAAAGATACATCATTTTCTAAGAAAACATTCCCTGCTGTTTTCTGTAGAATTAGTACCAGGCTGCAAGGCTTTGGACATGATAAACTCTGTGACCTCCTCCTGGGAATTAAAGAAGTTTGGTTTTTCCCCCCCCAGCCACACGGCTCTACATGATATGAAGCTTGACTCAGGACATTAAAGCACACTGCTTCAGATTTCCAGAACCGCCTTTGCTTCATAGCCATGCAGGCTTTCCTTTTCTTGCTGTTGTTAATTCTTTGCTACAATCTGAGAAAAATAAATCTCAAAAGCATTTGTAAAGCATTTCTTTTAGATCTTTGGGCAGTCTCTGAAATAGAAACGAGTTTGTAATATCACTTGTAGCATTCAGTGTAGGTTCTTATAATGCACTTTTCACTGTAGTCTTTGAGTACCTTCCAGTAGCACATTTAAACAACCAGACTAATAATTGTCATGTTTGTAGGGACAGAGCAAGACTACTGTTCCAAATGTGAAGGATATTTGAGTTTCTGGAAGTAGACAAAACCTGCCATTCTTCCTCTCTTCTTCCTAGAATAAACTTAAGTTCTAGTCTGTGGGCATGTTTATACGAGATGTGGTAATGTGCATTAGCATAGTTTATTGTGCAATAAACGCATGTCTACGCGTGCACACACTTATTGTGCAATAAAAAATCTTAATGCCGCTTAAATTTAGTACTTGCAAATGCAAGTAGCAAATTTAAGTGGGATTAGTTACTGTGCAGTAGTGCATGTGTAGATGTGACCAGCCACTAGGGGGCTGGCATCAGGCCAGCCACAGGGCTGCAGACTGGAAGCCTCTCCTGGCCTAGGGCTGGGCTGCCTCAATGGCAGCCCCTGTCTGCAGGTTTTAAAAGCATGCAGACATTTGTAGCCCTGGGACACAGAGATAGGGAGCCTGAGGGCACTGCAGGCCCCTGTGTCCCCCTGGAAAGGTCACAGCATAGCTGTGCCTGCCTGCCAGCTTCCCTTCACTGCTGCCTGGCACTACACTGTCACACAGCTTCCAGGACAGTGCTGTTCAGGTCAACAGGGTGCTGCAGATTGCTGAAGGTTGCTCCAGCCTCTGGCCAGGCCTGCCAGCTCAGGGCCACCTGCAGGCAGCCTCTGGCCAGCATGCCCAACACCACCAGCCTGCAGCACACCCCCAGCAGCTTGTCCTGTGCCTACAGGTGCTGCGGGACATTTTCTCTGCCATGCAGATGACTGTCCCATGCTATGGCCCTGTGCTGGGCATGGCTGGCAGTTGTCCAGACCTGGAAGGTCAGGGACAGCCATGGAGGGGCCCAGAGAGCAGGCATGGGGCCCACCATGGCCTCCTCCCCATCCTCAGATATGCCCATGCCCATGCCCTCCACCCAGGGCCCCAACTGGATCAAGGAGGAAACTGGTAACCTCATGGTGCTGCAGAGAGAGGCAAAGATGCAGTGCCAGTTTGATTGGAGTGGGCTCTCTCATGTGCATATTTATGAGGCACTGTCAGGCCAGATGCAGGAGTGAGGGAACAACCGGTCAGCACAGTAATGCCGCATAAAGGTCAAGGCCTTGCAGACACAGTGAGTCACTGTGACCGACCACAGTCATCGGTCTGGCCATACCCACAAGCCCATGCCTATTATGAAGCAACTTTTGCCCCAGGGTCCAGGCTGCGGCCATGCAGTATACACCATCACAGATGGCCTGACGAAGCCCCTGCCCCAGCCTGGCACAAAGCAGCTTATCTCTGAAATGTTGTAAACTCACAAAAAGCTTCTGTCTCATGGCTAAATGATTTGGATGTGGAGTTAAAGAGCTCACTGGCCAAGTCCATGGATGACACCAAGTTATGGGGAAGCATGGTCATGCTTGAAGATAGTCTACATATGCAGGCAGATCTAGACAGGCTAGCAAGTTAGGTGAGTCGGAACCAGATGAAGTTCAACATTGAGAAATGTAAAGTGCTCCTTCTGGGGACAAACAACCCCCTACACATCTACAGGCTTGGCAGCGCCAAACTGATCAGCACCACAAACAAAAGTGACCTGGGGGTAATAACAGACCACAGTGTGAATATGAGCCTGCAGTGCGATGCTGTTGCCAGCAGGGCAAATAATACTCTGGCATGCATCAATCAATGCATCTCCAGCAAAACTAAGGAAGTGATTTTTCAGCTCTATTCAGTACTGGTGAGACCCCAACTCATGTACTACATCCAGGTCTGGGTGCCACACTTAACAAGGACATGGTAAAACTTGAGAGTCCAGAGAAGAGCCACCTGTATGATTAGAGACTTGCACAGCGAGCCATATGAGGAAAGGCTGAGGGACCTGGGACTCTTCAACCTGAAAAAGAGAAAGCTAAAAGGGGATTTGGTAGCAGCTTACTGCTACACTACATCAGGAGAGTAGATCAAACACTCGGTGAACAACTTTTTACCAAGGCACCCTTGGGGAAAACCAGGAGTAATGGCCACAAACTCCTAGAAGACCATTTCAGGCTCAACATTAGGAAAAACTTCTTCACAGTTGGTGTGTCCAGACTGTGGATATAAGCTCCCTCCAGAGGTGATGCAATCACCTACCCTGGAAATCGTCAAGGAAGCTGGACAGTCACCTTGCGTCGGTCTTTCCTGCCTGGTGCAGGGAGCTGGATATGATGATCTTCCAAGGTCCCTTCCAGCCTTACAATCTATGAACCCCAACACCACTGCCAGGAGGTTGTGGACATGGAGCACAGTATCCAGTGTGCTCTACCTGGGATGGTGAGCAGTGACTGGACACACTCTGGCTGACTTGGGCCACCTTCTGGGATCTCCTCCAACACCTCCAGCCCCATCTGGAGCAGCAGGGCACAAGCATGCTCCTAGACCTCCCCTCCAGATCCCCAGCATGTCTTGGAGAGCCCCACACCTCCAGGGTTCTCTCCCCGGTGGTGGCCCTGCCCATGCCAACATACCGAAGGCTGGCAGACATAGCCAGCTTCAGCAGGGTGAGGGCAAGCTGGGTGTCTGCAGGGAGGGATGGGTGCATGCTGGTGCCCTGCCACTCCAGATGGGGCTGGAGGCACTGGAGAAGGTTCCAGAACATGGCCTGAGTCAGCTGGAGCATGTCCAGCCACTGCTTGTCATCCCAGGTGTGCTGGACAATGTGCAGCTACCAGACATGGCTGGTGCTGTGGGCCCAGAGGCAGTGGGGATGGAGGTCAAGGAGGGTGACAGGGGCCCCAGCAGTGGCATCCTGGAGCTCCTCATCAGTGTTCCTGCTGACGGCAGCAGCATAGCAGTGGCAGCAGCCTGGGACAGCATGCTGTGGCCAGGCAGGTGGTCACTATGCATGGGAGAACCCGTTGGGT